CTTCTCTGTTCATTCCCTCTGAAGCAGCTGGCTCTAGCACTGTTGGAAGACAGGATATTGGGCTATGTTGTAGGAGCAGCAGTGATCTGTATGCTCTATATGACTATGGTCTGTATAACGGGTATGCTCAAAAGGTCTGCTACACTTCCCCCCACCCCATTTTGTCTCCTCTCCCTCTTTGAATACCAGTGAAGTGGCTTTCCCTCCCTCCAGCTCCCTCCTGGAATGCTTGTGGAATGAATGGGCTGGTTGAACAGCTGGAAGATCAGAAGAGCTCCCAGGCAGACAAGGTGTCTGGGACTCTAAATAGGCAGCGATCACACACCCAATGCATGGACACTGCCGGAGGTGGAGTGTGACCAGCCAGACTCGGCCAAGTCATCTCTAGTCACAGGTCCTTAAAAGGGGAAGGGGCCATGTGCTCAGGAGTGCACTCACAAGCTTGTACCTCCCGTGAAGGCCCTTTGCCTGGACAGCCTGGCCAGTGGTTCACCGCGTTGCATTCTATCATGCCTTGGGAAGACTTACCTTCATCACACCATCCATGGCTGCACTGCGGGACACTTACCTTGAAGGATCCTGACATCTCCAGTGCCGTGCCTGTCTTAGAAGCATGAGTATTGGAGTGTGAGAGTGATCCCCTACTTCTTTTGAGCTTAGCTATCAGTATAATAAAGGTGCTGCTTTCTGCCAAACTTGTGGGTCATTAGTCCTGCCTAAACATACTAGGTGGTCCAATTTCAGGTAACAGGCTAGATGGACTACTGGTCTGGCTCAGTATGGCCATTCTTACGTTATGGTCTTATATCCTTCATATATTTTAATGCTAATATCAATATTTTTCACTAGTCATATACATGTCTAATCCTTTTTTTGAGTTCTGCTAAATTCTTGGCCTCAATTATACCTTTTGGCAATGAGTTCCAAAGATTAATTATGGATTCTGTAAAAAAAAAAATCCTTTTCTCTTTCTATAATTGTTGCCTTTAATTTCATTGAATGTCCCATTGTTTTTGTAGTACAAAGAAGGGTAAAAAGGAATACCCTTTTTTTTTAATCTATACCATTTATTATGCTATATATTTATACGCTCTGCTTCTGTGGAAGTCTTTCCTCTCTTCTGATTATTTTTGTCCCCAGGCTCTATTTCTACTGTTGTTGGTTTTGTTTTTTTGTTTTTTTGTTTTTTTTTGTGATGGGTGACCAGAACTGAACCCTGTGTTTCAGGTGAAGGTGTGCCACAGGTTTTATATAATGACATTAGAAAATGTTCACTATTATTTTTCATACCATTCTTTATACATCCAAATACATTGTCTGTTCTTTTGAACAAAACTGCACCGAGTAGATGAATTTATTGAGCTGTTCACAATGCTGCCATTGGACCTTTTTTTTGAGTGGTTATAGTTAGTTTACTGCTACTACTACTTAGCATTTCTTCAGTACTTGTCATGCATAAATCTCAAAGTTAGTACAAAGAAGGATACATTACACTTCCCTTAATACAGATGAGAAACCAGAGGCTGAGGCAGAGAAAGGTGAAGTAGCTTATCCACATACCAGGTTAATGGCAGATGCAGGAATAGAACCCAAATCTCCTGGCTTCCAGTCTTGTGACCTGTACTCTGACTCCCTAAAAAAATTAGATCTCAGCCATTTGTATGAGTGGTTCAGATTTATCCCTTCTAATATGCATTGCTTTCCATTTGTCAGCAATGAATTTCATATGACATTTAGGCTGCCCAATTGTCCAACTTAACAATAAGTCCCAGTGGAGTTTCTCACAGTCTTTAATTATGACTAACTTAAATATTTTAGTGGTTTCAAATTTTAACATTTCACTGGGCACCCGTTTTCCAGAACACTTAATTCCTATTCCAGGCTTACATTTACCAGATAATGATACTGACCTCCTTTATCCATAGAGTTATTTCCACATGGTGTTCCCTCAACAGGCAGCCAGTGCCAATGAAGATGTTCTTTGAACTCCTCTCTTTTTAGTGAGCAAGGGCTTCCAAAGATAACACCCAGGGGGAAATTGTGTTAGTTGACTAGTGCCACATAGGGCATCCGAGGGTCAGGCACATAGCAGGTGACTGTGGTCATGAAAGTTCTCGTATCTGAAACAAAGTGACTGACCACCACGATCTGTGCAATTTCTGTCCAGCATTCTAGTTTTGTTTAATTGGTGTTATTAAATATACCAGTCGAGTTTTGTGTATTAAGAACAATACAATAATGGCCCTGATTCACCTTACACTGGTTTTCCACCTATTAAAAAACATAAATGTTCACAGATACATAGATTTCCAAGGCCAGAAGATGAATGGGATCATCTACTCTGACCACTTGTATAACACAGGCCATAGAACTTCCAGAAAATGATTCCATCCAATCTTGATTTTAAAATTGCCAATGATGGATAATCCACCATGACCACTGGTAAATTGTTCCAGTGGTTAATTAGCTTCATTGTTAAAAATGTTTGTATTATTTACTGTCAGAATTTGTCTAGCTTCAACTTCCAGACATTAGACCATATTATACCTTTGTATGCAGAGAGCCCAGTATTACATATTTATTCCCCATGCAGGTACTTATAGACTGTAATCAAGTCTTTCCATAATCATCACTTAGTTCAGCTATATAGATTAAGCTCTTTGAGTCTATCACTATAAGGTCTGTCATCTAATTGTTTAATCATTTCCGTGGCTCTTCTCTGAACTGTCTCCTGTTTATCAACATCCTTCTTGAATTTTGGACACCAGAACTGAACACAGTATCCCAGAAGCAGTCACACTAGTGCCAAATACAGAAGTAAAATAACCTGTCTACTCCAAATCAAGATTCCCCTATTTATGCATCCAAGGATTGCATTAGCCCTTTTGGCCACATGTTCCGCTGATTATCCCTTACAATCCCAAAATCTTTTTCAGAATCACTGCTTCTTAGGATATCATTCCCCATCCTGTAACTATAGCCTATATTCATTATTCCTAGTTACATACATTTACAATTAGCCACATTAAAAATTGTATTATCCAGATTGCTCTATGTCAGTGACCTGTCCTCTTCATTATTTACCGCTCCCTGAATTCTTGTGTCACCTGCAAACTTTATCAGTGATGATTTTATGTTCTCTTCTAGGTAATTGATAAAAATGTTAAATAGTATAGTGTAATTTACAATTATATTTTGAGACCTATCAGTTAGACAGATTTTAATCCATTTAATGTGATTAGTTTTTTAGTCAAAATGTTGTGGGGTACTAAGTCAAGTACCTTACATAACTCTAAGTATATTATATCAACACTATTACCTTTATCAACCAAATTTCTAATCTCATCAAAAAAAGATATCTAGTTAGTTTGACAGGATCTAATTTCCATAAACCCATGTTGATTGGTATTACTTGTATTACCCTTCTTTAATTCTTTATTAATCTAGTCCCACGTGAGCTGTTGCATTGTCTTTCCCAGGACTGATGTCAGACTGACATGGTTATACTTACCCAGGTCATCCCGTTGACCCTTTTTGAATATTGGAACAACATTAGCTTTCTTGGAACATCCTCAGTGTTCCAAGATGTATTGAAAAACATTATTAGTGGTCTATGAGCTTGTCAGCCAGTTCTTCTAAAACTCTTGGATTCAAGGTATTTGGATTTGCTGATTTTAAAAAGTCTGACTTTTGTAGCTGCTCTTTAGTATCCTCCTTTGGTACTAGTGAAATGATGAAAGTGTTATCATCATAACTGCATAATGCATGACTGCATAATCTGTTTTTTCCCCCCAAATGCAAACCAGACATATTTATTGACCACTTCTGCCTTTTCTGCATTATTACTGATAATTCTACCATTTCCATCTAGTAATAGACAGATTCCACTGTTAGGATTCTTTTTGTTTCTAATACACTTTAAAAACTTTTTTTTTTAATGTGTGTGTGTCCTTTACTCTGCTAGCCATAGATTTCTCCTGTCCCTTTGTTTCCCTTATCAATTTCCTATCATTCGTAGCTTCTGATTTATATTCATTGCTATCATCCTCCTCTTTGTTCCATTTGTTATATAGAGATATATATTTTGTATAGCTGCCCTCACTTCCTCTCTAAACCAGGTTGTTTTTAACCAATACTAACTAAAGTCCAAGGACTTTTTCCTGATTTACAGTGGTGTGGGATGCAAATCAAGCCCTGTAAAGTTTAGTTGTTTTATATTATGTTTGCTTCTTATACTATTCTAGTGGAAGTGAATGTGCCTTTCTGCACTTTACTTCCTTGAAGGGGCCCTTCTGTAATGAAAGGATAATTCAGCATTCTTAACCTTTTTTTTTTTAAGCTGTCAAATATGATTATTTACTATGTCTAGTCTGCTTTTTTTTTTTCAACATAGGCAAATCTGAGGGCTAATACAAGTCCATCAAACTCATTTAATTTATGCTAGGCTGGAACTGAGCTCTGTTTTCCCGGGTCATAGGCAAGTGTATGAATCTACTTTATCGCCAAGATTACAGAACATTATATACAGTGAGCCTCATATTACAAAACAGTTACATCAGTCTCTAATTACTCAGACGTACCTTATGTTGAACGATGATGCACCTTCAGAAACAGCATGCAAAAGCACATTTGTTTAAGTCCTTAGATAGTTAACATTGTGCATAACCTCCTCATAAATTACAGCCTCAGCTGCAGCATATCCATTAGTCTGAAAGAGAAAAGATTCCCAAGTGGCCCTAGTGCCTTTCCCAATTCCCTTGCAACTCACCAATCCTCTCTGTGCTTTCTGTGCGTGTGGGGAGTGTTCAGAGCTAATCAGGTCAATGATCATCCCACGGCTCCCGGGACATGACAGGAGCCTGTCACAGCAGTTACAGGATCTTCCAGACCTGAGCACGTTTGCTGAGAATCTCATGTTAAGAAACATTGCTTTGGTACTCTTTCTCTCACTCACTGGGAACCTCTGAGGATTTCAGCTTATCTATCTCTCTCTCTTTTAGACAGTGAGGAGTTGAACACAAACGGAAAAAGGCAGTACAGTATGCAGCTACCTGGAGGGTGTTGATTGAAAACTTAGATTGCCCCCAAATCACTGCTGATTTGACTGATGCCTCAGCTCTATCAGAAAAAGAATTTCAATTAAGGTAAGTGCTGCTTTATCTGGGGGACTGCATCATGCTGAATTTCTGCATTGAAAGTTCTGAGTAAACTGACATTCTGCACTGCAGCAAGACAGTCCATTTATTATGTCAGTAAAAGCCTTAGTTTAGAGATAAGTGTCCCATAATGGAACTATTGTCTTAAGAGAATAAGATTTTTAGATTTGAACTGTTGGAAATATTTCTGATCAGATGGTCTTCTGAATCTTGCAAAAACAATTAGACGTAAGAAGAGGTGGGGAAGAGAAGGGGGCAAACACACTATCTTTCTTCTTTGCCCTTAATATATTTAAAGGAGTCTGCAAGGCACAGATAACTTAATTTTGATTAAAGAGGTTTGTTCATGCTCAAGTGGAAACTCATGGTCTAAAGCCTTCCAAGTTTCCCAGTATTTAAATGAGAAAGGGGTATTTCAAATGTGAGTTGAGAATATGTGTGCAGCTTCCCAGGTTAGCAATGCCATTGAGGAGTCTGAGATATTATACTAAGCATCTGACATGTTTTTGAACAGTTTCCAATGTAGGACTAGCAGCTAGGCTGGGGAGGTAGGCTATTTCTTATGTGAGTGGTCAGATAATTAAATCTATAGCTTTCAGCAAAAAAAGTAGTCTGACATGAATCATTGTTTTGATTCAAAGGATGGGGACTGATCTTTCATGGGGTGATGGAAGCAGCATGCCATGTTAAAAGAAAGAAATAAACTGATGATTAAGATGTTTATTTGAAAAAGGACAGAGAACAGGTGAAAGAGGATGTCTTGAAAGATTAAATGTATTATTAAGAAAAAGTCAGGGATGTTTACAGTGACTGCTGTTAGCCTGCCAGTCTAATGTGTCTAAAGTGAATTGAATTTGATCACCTCAGCTCAGTCCATACTTAATGTCCATGAAGTCAGGAGCTAGGTGTGAGGAGCTGGTTAAACTGTCCAAACTTTGTAACAGGGCAAGAGACCCAAAGTAAGTTCTGTTGTATTGAGCATGTTACTTGGGAGGGCAATAAAAAGAAGAAAAAGTGAACAGAAAATGTTCATTTAAAAATCTGTCATAATACAGAGAAAATCCCTGTGAGAGCAATTGAAAGTTAATTGATTGCATATCTTGCTTTCATATGTATATCCCCTAGACAGTTTTTAAAAGTGTGATTACATTTCCTTATTTTCAGCCAATAGTGTTGTAAATATCATTAAAATCATTTCAGCAGGCATCAAATATTCATATATAATTTATCAGCTACCATTATTTTCAATATCATTAATAGCTTTTTGTCATACATTAATAAGTAGACACAATTTTGGAGAGATTTTCTTAACCTTCCCACCCCCTGAAACAAAAGGAGTTCAGGAAAATTTCAGTTATCTGCAAGTTTACTGCTTATCCCATCAGATTTTCATGGCTGGAGCTGGTGAAAAGTTTCTTTTCTTCCATCCCACCTTCATAAATGCAAGCATATGTGAAATTGACGTATGGTTTTGGGGAAGGTACTGAAAGCCCTGCAAATCTTAATTGACTGTTAATATGGTCTCATTCTTGAAAATACTAATTTCCATAGGCAGTGTATCTGAGACTGGTGTCACTATGTAACTGTTGTATTCTTGGGAATGAAGTTGCCTTCGGAGGTAGGTACAGGCATTGACAACTAGTTTGGTTTGCCACATTGGGCCATTTCTCAGCCCTTGTAGTAGTGAAAAGATATTTACTCAAGCATGTGCTACTTCTCCCCGGAGAGGATACTTTGTCTTGATCAGGGCTGGGAGGAGATTTATTAGGATAAGTCTAGCTCTTACTCTAGCTATCTGCACTGAACTATGTTTCATGAATAATCAATAGCTCCTCAATATAATTAGTATTAATATACATGAGTCAAAACATCCATCCAAAAATGTAATCAAAAGAAAACACCCTATTACTCTACAGGGAAAAGTTCCCTAGCTTTGAGAATAAGCATTCCTTACATAGCTGCTGATTTGTGTGTTCACATGCAAACAGCAACAACTTCCCGTCTGGTCTTTCGCAAGGGCTAACTATAAACAGTGTTTGACATGATGGATTTTGTTCTATTTCCATCAAAGACATTGAAATAGATTTTAAAAAAAAGCATCACATTTTGTTTCATCACGTCTGTGGCTTTCTAAACCCATATGCCCTTGTAGTTCAGTTATTAGAGTATTTAGAAACCAAACCAAATCCAGATGCACCTTCTGTTTTTAAGTGAAGAGCCCTTTTTAATATGCTGGCTTAGGGATCATATATAAGGATGTTTCTCCAAACACCTGCAGATTCCACCCATACAATCTTCTTCACATTATGAAAAAATAAAAGACAATACTAATTGTTTTGAGCAGCCATCTATCTGAGGATTTCAAAGCAATTTATAAGCATTAATCTTTCAATGTTATATCAGGGATGAAGGAGAATATAATTATTCCCATTAAACACAGTACATAGAGAAACTGAAACACGTCTGTTGTGTGATATACTCATGCAAGAAGCCAGTGGCGAAGCTGGGAATAGAGCCCAGGTCTCCTGCCTTTGGGGCCTTTGTTGTGACCATAAGACCATAGCAAGTAACGTTAAGTGTTATATATATAGATTTCAGCTCTATTTCAGTTCTTTCTAGGTCTTTGAATGAGGCCAGTATTCAAATCTTTGCCTCAAGCCGATTTTCATTACTACTGACATAAGATAGAGCTTGCTATCTAGCTCATCTCTGTTGAAATTAGTATATGATACTAACACTTTCATATCTGGGGCTTCTTTAAAGGAAGCTTGACAACCAGTGAAGTTAAAATAACACAGAGGTAAAAGCAATGAGATCTATCCACAGACAGACATAACAATACCTATCATAGAGCAACAAGGCACACTTCTGATCCAATTGTGATGATAGTGTGAAAAAAAGGAAATCCTTGTTAATGGCTAAAGTTAACAATTTCTTGCCAGGGAAGGAAAAGAGAAAAGGGTAACTATATAATTTTAGATGGACATGAGAAAAGAGAAATAAGACTATGTTGGAGATGCTATGGGGCACTCAGTTCCAGCAGCTTCTCTTCTCTGAGCCCACAGACCATGTCAAGGCTCAGGACTAATGAGAGAACGGCTCTCAGGGCATCTTTGAAGCTCCAGCCCTAGAACTCCTTACAGGAGCAGCAGCACCATCACCAGCAGGGCTTCACTTGGCCAGCAGTTTCCCACTGTCACTAAATCTTTGAAACTGAACTCATGTCACTTTCATGTTTTGTTTCCTGGATGTGCATTCTTGTCTCTTTGTGGCTACCAAATTCCCTCTGATATAGCACCTCATTCCCCATGCTGACCATGCTCTTTCTCATCCTTCCGCTCACAGTATCCCCTCTGTATCCCATTTCTTTCCCTTTCCTCCAACTCCCATATTTTTCTACTCCATCTGTCCCCATTTCCTCCTATCCATCCTCTCCCCCGCTCCTTGGCTTCTTTAAATACACCACTTCCTTACCATTCTACTTGCCCCATCACTACTCTGTTAGTGTCCTCCCCATGAAAAATGGATTCTCCAAAAAATAAAACATAACCCAGTATTGGAACTAACAAGACACATACTCTCCAACACTCTGATCATGTTACTTGTGGGCCTGATCGTGAAAGGTGCTGGTTTCTGCCTCTGATATACTGGATATTCTCAGTTCACATTAACTTCACTCAGAATGAAGATTGCCTAGCACCTTTCAGGAAGTGCCCAGAACCTCACGGGACTGAGTCCTTCAAATGTAGAATTAATGTGGCTTGGTCGCAAGTTTCACTTTTCCCATTTTTGAAAATAAAGCAAACAAAAAATAATATTGGTGAATGGAATGCATGTATCAAGTAGGACAATTTAATGGTGGTGGTCTAAGAATATTTGTAGCAACTGGAGTGGAGGGAGAATAAAACTAATACATTTGACTGGGTTTCCATTGGTCTGAATAGCCGGAATATAATTCTTTAATTTAGTATGCATGTTAAGGATTTCTATGACCAAAGCATTTCACAGATTATATTTTTAACAAGTTTGTTGGAAAAGCTCTTTTGTTTAAAGCAGCATTTTAGTCATTAACTGAGGTGCTCATTATCCAGGAAAAGCTAAAAGCCTTTTCATAGCCATTCAAAGGAATATGTGAATGTTTTGCTTGTTAATGGTTATTGCATTTATAACTAAAATGCTAATAAAATATTAAGTTCTTTTACTACTTGGTTACATTAAATCTAATTTTAAATCTTTAACTAACTTGGTAAATATAACAAGAACTCATTGCACTCTCTTTCGAAAATAGCATTTCTTACTCCATTGCTTAATAAAACATGTTTTCCCTAGAACACATAATGGACCTATTCAGTGTGAAGTTACCTCAGTGCAAGCCTATTGACTTTGCTGGAGTTAATTCTGAATTACTCTTATGATCAGAAGCAGACCCTCTGCCTTTAACTGGACACTCATCATTGTACCGACTAACAATACGCATGTCTCAAAAAGTTCAGCTTTGCATCAGATTCCCACCCGGAAGCTGAATGATTAGTCAGACCTCCTAGGCCTACAAAATTGGGCAGGACTTTATATGAGAACATTTTTTCTTTCAGTATTTTGGTCCTTCTGCCTTTAAAACTGGGTGCTACCTTGAAGAGTAGCTATGTACAAAAAAGAGAAGCTATGTACAAAAAGGAATTTGGGTAAGGAGAGGGAGATGTAGTTAACTAAACTTGTTAACTAAAATATTACATGGTTAATGTCAAAAAAGATTTGCTGATCTCTTATAGCAACTCATCTATATCTGCAAATTAAATGTTTGCTGAGGCTCGTATATAACTAACTTTGTGCTTTTTCTGTGTTCAGTCCTTACCAGTCATCTCAGGTAAACTTTTCCATTGTGGTTGTTAGCACTCACTGCATATCTGTGCAGATCTGGCATTAAGAATCTTGCACTTTGTTTTGAGGGACAACCATTTTCTTATGTAACATGACTTCTTTCTTTTAGA